AAAAAAAAAAAAAAAAATGTCTGACTCCGTTTCCGCATCTGACACAAATCCTTAGAGAGAGGTGCTAAATTATCTAACTGTTACGACAGGATAGTCCTGACCGAGTGGGCGTGGCGTGTGAGAAGGGATGACGAGGGCGATGATGGTGGAGATGAGGGAGAGGAACTGTGAGCGACGATAGGACAGACGGGAGGGGGGGGCTGGGGGTCCGCGGTGGAGGCGGGCCCTAAACACACACACACTGAGGGCCCCGCTGGTTCAGGCGAGGATAAGCACCGACCCGGACTGAACTCCTAGTTACAAATAGGAGCTGCGGCATTCCAAGTGGAGCAGAGTGGAGGCGCTCCATGCTGATGAATAATAATATTAAGTAAGAGTGAGAAGCTGCCCTATTTAACCAGAGCGAGGAGGATATGAAGCTGCTTCTTTCTGACTGGGAAAAAGATATGATTAATTAGGAAATTATTCACAGAGGACTAAACATTTAAACCAGGTAAGGTGCCGCTATTTATTTATATTAAATAAAAACAAAACGATTTAACATTATTGAATTTTTTTTTCATATCGTTTTTAAAAGTTAAAAGTCTGATGATTAATTAAATCAGTTAAATGTGTCAGCCTCCCACCATGAGGCAGGGAAACAGATGCAGGTCAGTTAGATATGAGCGACATGGGATCGGTATGTTCCAGTTATTTAGACATGTGGGTCACTGCTGGTAAGGCATGTCTGACCGGAAACCCAATCAGCAATTACGTGATCCTAACCCATTAAAGATAGCAATTAACCCAGATTACATTTATACTAAAATAAATATGTCACAATTCATTGAGATATTTCTAAAGTTTGGGAGGAATGAGAATATAAAAGTAGATTTATTAAAATGTGCAGGTTTTCATATGTTCCCTTAAATGATGCCAGAAGTCCTTTAGGGGTGATCAGCTCTAAGTGTTCAGTCTTTGTTGTCTCATATCAAACATGGAATGAAGCTTGTAAGAAGGCAGTACAAGATGCTCCTGTTTTATTTGAGAGATGTGATAGGGTTACATAATATTGTGTTGTAATGACTCTTGCATAACGTGCATAATCATTCTCTCTTTTCACCACCAGGTGGCAGTGTTGCAACAAATATCCACTATAAGAGTTCCTGAGAATTCACTGCGCTGCATTCAGCTTTTAACTGTCCTTCAGTCAATGCCTGGCATGATGTTTGAAGAGGAGTCTCAGGGTATGAGAGGCCAGCAGGAGCTGTCCGTCCTGCGCGCCGTGGAGTCGCCTGTTGGGGCGGCGTCTAGTGGAGTTGAGGGTTCTCTGTCCTTCACTGATGAAACTGTGTCCATACTGACCTCCAGCAACCTGCTGGCTCGCTCTCTGCTGGGTCGCACCTCAGCCGTCAAGCGTAAAGAGAGCCCGGCTGCCTCTGCCCGACGCAAGCGCGAGTTCATCCCCCAGGACAAAAAGGACGACAGCTATTGGGACAAAAGAAGGAAGAACAACGAGGCGGCCAAACGTTCTCGGGAGAAGCGGCGGGTGAACGACATGGTCCTGGAGAGCCGGGTGCTTGCTCTGCTGGAGGAGAATGCCCGGCTCAGGGCAGAGCTGCTGGCTCTCAAGTTCCGCTTTGGTCTGATTAAAGATCCCTCCAGCACACAAATTCTACCACTTGCTGGAGCTACTCAGCACAATGTTCCAAATCTGACTCCTCAATATTATCCCCACAGAGGGGATCCAGGCCCTCAAAGCTCCCCAGCACCACATCCCAGCAACCCCTTAGGCCAGACAAGCACCAGGGGCTGTAGGGAGGGCGGAAATCTGTCAGAGGACTCTGGGTTTTCTACCCCAGGTGGGTCCAGTGTGGGCAGCCCGATCTTTTTTGAGGACCGCTTTGGTGATCATGGGAAATTCTCCCCACATCGGGCAGAAGAGTTGAGCTATGACCTCCAGCATTCACCTGCTGAAGTCCACCACCCTGCTGCCCCCAGTGTTGGCAAGCACGACCAAGCGGAAGCAATGAAGAACCTTCCTCACAAGCTACGTTTCAAGATTCCTGGGAGCGGCGAGGGTCTTGACGTGGGGTGCGACAGCGCCAGGCGCAGTCCATCCATCTCCGCCGTGAGCCGGGAAGGTCCTCGGGAGACCAGCAAAGGACTGAATGGGGGTGAGGCGGCAGCAGGGCATTTTTCTGGCTCCTGGGTTCAGCAAATAGAGGGGGAGGAATGTAGAAGGGAGAGACAGACTCCTCCTAATACCACCGGCTGTAACCTCCAGGCTCCTCTGACGCCCGGACAAAACGAAGTCCTGTATCAACATGAAAACACTTACCTGAAGTCTCAACTCAGCTCCCTCTCTGAAGAGGTGGCTCAGCTGAAGAAGCTTTTCACAGAGCAGCTCATGTCCAAAATCAACTGATGACCAATGCTGGTAGATGATACGTGCTAATGCCTGGACTTAAGGACTTCTAGCACAGACTGAAAAACAGCAATACAATCTTCTACTGTTCAGAAAGACTTATTGTAAAAAAAAAAAACAAAAAAAAGTTGTTCGTTCTTTTTAATGTCCTGGGTGTTGGTCATTCGGTCTCGTCACCCCTCTGTACTGTTGCAGTTTAAGTCATTTCATACCTGGAAAAAAAAATTCTAATCAAAACAAAACGGTGCCGGCTATGACAAGATGTTTTGCACCGACTCTATGTTTATTTGTGATCACAATGTGGATGTTTTGCACCAGACTTCTCTGCTTAAAGATTTAAGATATTGTTCCATTTTTAACCAAAAGAAAACATGGCTATGCTCTCTACCAGCAGGAAGTTGCTTAGGTTAGGTCAGAAGTCCTAAACCTAAAACTTAACTGCATGCAATAAAAAAACAAACTATTATCATTCTTGGTGAAATCATTTAGGTACCCTTTTCTTTTCTATGAAATGTCAGACAGGATGAAACATTGGTGCAAACTGGTGAACTCACCCAGAGCCTGATATATTGCTGCTTTCAACACTCATATTGTCTTCTGTTTAGCAATATCCTGCTGTGATCTCACCTTCTATCTATTTCACTCATAGATGCGTGTCTTATATGTGTATAACAAGTGAAAAATGTGTATTCCACACACTGTGACGTCAAATCACACACATCAAAAAACTGACATGGCAATAAGAGGCTCACGTCGTCACCGGATGCTCCCAGCATGAATATAAAAAATGAAGGGGTTTTATTTTTCATAGATTTCAAATGCGGAGATTGACCCGCCCAGGAATGACATCACTAACTAGTAAAAACATAAAAATCACTCGCAGGATCTGAAGTTTACTATGTTTTTCACCAGGTGTGTTTGGATTGTTCCTTTTACAACAAACACCACATCTGGTGCAGTTTTGTTATGTATTTTTTGTTGTTTTTTTTTTTTTTACCAATTTCTTTGTTACCATTTTTCATCTGAAGTGACAATAATTAATTCTTGACTGTGTTTTTGTGCATTTTTTTTCATATTCAACAACAATAAATAAATTTCCCATATTTTGTGTCACAATTGTGAATTAATTACAAGTAACATACTAGAAATATAAGAAAAGAATAAGATATTATTTAGATTTCTGCTGCACGACATCCTATTTCTAGATTGGATGGTGTAATTTTAAGGTTCTCCATGTGCGTGTGCGTAAAGGTATCCTTAGTTTTGTTTATCTGTTTCCAAGTTTGAATTCACCTCTTGCTCATTGATCCCCTTTATAAAGGAAAAAAAAAAAACTAAAAAGGATGCTCTGTGATTAGTTTTTCTTTTTTAAGAGGAAGGTAAAGATCTGGCAGACAAGTGCTGACGAGCGCAGGAAGTGAGTAGAGGGTGCACACTTGGCAAGTTTCTCCTGTAGTCTCTGCAGGAGGTGATTTGGGCCGACTGCCAACCAGACAGAGACAGAATGAATGTCTGCTCTTACTCAGCCATCGTATTAGAGCTTCAGAACATAAGAGATTTATTGATACCAGCTGGTGGAGAATTTATGGACGGGTAAAAGAAAAATGGTGGGTGGGAAAGTTTTTCCAGACTTAACATTTTTGCACAATCCTACAAGAACAACTCATCTGTTTTTGTTTAATGAGGGAGCAGATTCCTGGATAAGCAATACAAGAACGCACACTGTCTTAACTTAAACAGGTTGAAGAGAAAAAAGGCTCTACAAGGTCATCAGCAGAGGGCAGCAATGATTTTCCCTGCAGTGTGACAGCAGTGGACCAACACCTGAGTCGCAATAAAACAATGTAATGCATTTTAGAGTAGAAAAGTTCCCTTGCAACATATGGTGACATCATCATGATAATTGCAGTTTATATATATATATATATATATATATATATATATATGTATGTGTGTGTGTGTATGTATCTAGTAATGCAGAAAATGCACAGCAACATAAGGAAAAACTGCATGCACAAATGTTTTGATGTTGTTCAGATGCTTTTTGCAGCAAATTGTTCACTTTAATGAGTTGTTATTTTTTTAATGATTGAAAAAAAGCTTTGTCTGATGTGTTTAAATATGTTTCAGGATGCTAAGGGCAAAAGGAATGGCAGATAAAAGCTGTAATTTGTTTTTTTCCAAAGCTGAGTATAATTTAACTCAAAGGAAACCAAGAAAAGGCTGCAGGCATTGCAGGTGTGGAACTGAAAGAAGAAGGGAGTGATTTCATGAATCCACTGCAACATGCTGCTCTTACACTACCATCCTCACACACACCCAAAGCAAAAAAAAAAAAAAAAAAAAAAACTGCAACCCCCACATCCCCCTCTTATGCTTACTCTGTTTACCCCCCCTCATTTTTTTTTTCCAAGGAAAGGATAAAGCTTGTTGCTAGGCAGGCAGTGCGACAGTTGCCATGGGAACGCTTGCAGACATAGCTAGAAGGGGAGGGAGGATCGTCGGGGTTAGGGTGGGGATAAGGATGGATAGCCAAAAGAGAGGGAGTGATGCAGAGGAGGAGAGACAGTGTGTTTCTAATGGGGAGGGGGGGGACAAGTTCACAGCCAATCCACAGCTCCTCCTTCCTGCTTCCCCCTCCTAAAGAAGGAGACAAAGAGGAGCTAAGGAATTGGGATCAATATTTAGTTCTGAAATGTGGGGTTACCCTTTTCTTATGAGGCATTTCAAATTTAAATATATATATATATACTTTTGTGTTATATCATACATTTATAAATGAATTATAAATGTATATTTGAACATGCTTTCATTAACACCTAAAAGTTGTTTGTGATCAGATGCAAAGGTTATCAAGCCTCCACTGAGGCACCATGATCTGACCCATAACCTTTTGCTGATAATAAACTTTACTATACGTCCTTCACCTCTCTGCTCTCTGAGTTGGGATCTATGGAAATAGCTACTGACGTAGTTCCATCAACAGGAACCCAAACAAGATAACCGATAAATCATTGTAGAAAAAGTGAACACGTTGCGCTTCTTTTCTTCCTGTGGTTACATGGCAGCAGATCCAAGATCCTAAACATCCTGATTTATTAACCTCTCCAGGAGGGGAGACTGGTTCTCTCATTCAATCCCCCTTTGTGCTGCGCTGAGGGATAACTGCTAAAAAGGCTTCCCAGAGGATGGTGTTTAAAAACCCAACGGAGAAACATTTTCCTGCTCTTTGTGTAAGCCTCTTCCAGCAACACCAGCATGAAGCACAAAAACACTGTTGCTCAGCATGACTCAACAAATACCCTGAAATGTTACTAAACAGGGAGCTGGGTTTTTATTGCTGCTGTGCAAACCTCCTCTGTAGTATATGTTGACTATTTTAGCACAGAAAAGTAAAAAATGTTCGACATTCTTCATGGGAATTTGACTAGGCTATTTTATTCTGAATGAATATACTCTGATCTATATTTAAATGGTGTTAGGATGAAATTGTAACCTAATATGTGATAAAAATTTCAACATATTTGTAGCTAAATATATATGAGGAAAGAACATGAAGGCCGTAGAGTTCATTCAAGTGGCCAAATATACTGTTAGAAACGGCGGGTCCACAGGGGGGTAAAGGGGGGAACTGCCCCTCTGTTAAAGAGCCCCTCAACTGCCTGTAATATACCTAGAATGACTAATGCACTGTTTGCCAAAAAGCCCCTTACAGCCTTCAAATAAAATATCAATTTATTAAAGTATAATATAACATATACTATAAAATATGTTTTATATCATATACAATATAAAAACAATGTAATAAAAATAATAAATAGAATTGCTTGTTTGGCCTGTGTGAATGTGAGAAATAATCTCTGGGCTCATATGGTTAGACTTCATGCCATAAAAAGAGGGATAATCTTTCCAAATATTAATGTTTTTACATAGTAGTTTAAAATGAAATTTAAAAATTGAGACATTTATAGTTTCTATGCCAAAAGGTGAAGATGAGAAGTCAGAAAAGAATATCAGATTTGAGGAAGGAAGAATGATGGAGGGTCACAGGTGAAGGAGGTCACTAAAAGAGGGCAAAGAGTCAGGGAATCCAGCTTATCCAACTGGATATATTATTATTCTCTGGATAAATTCCTGTATAGAGATACTAGATTTGGTTCTCGTTGTGAGACATAATTGCTGTCTGGAGCTCCCCCACAAAAGATTGCTGGATACAGTCCTGTATGGTAATTTCTGTTATTTTTCTGTATTTGTCTTCTGTATTTATTTATTTGTGGAAAATTTGTTTTTTTCATTTAACCTATACCTAAAAGTCCTCTGTTTTAGAAGAGGAAAGGACCAAGTAAAAAATGTTTTTATTTATTTATTTATTTTATTTCTTTGAGCGATTTATTTACATATTTTAAAGAATAGGTCCAATATTGCTTCTGAAATATCATAGCCTATCAATTTTAGCAACCAAACAGTCCCTAACATTGTCATATTTTATACACTAATGTCATGATGTTACAAAGTTCAGACCAAAATGAAGAAAACCGAACAGAGAGACCAGGGAAAAGGTGTAACGGGTGTTATTGAAGAAGTTAAACAGAGGGAGAAGTGTTGCTCTGAACACTGCTCAACCGGAACTGTAATGTGAGGGGAAGACACAGCGGTGAGTTCAGGCTCAGTGGGGAATTTGACTCGTGAACTTCGAGAAGAGGATTTGGTTGCCGACTCACGTTTCAAGAGAAGCTGTTGAATCCTTGACCCCTGTCTGTGTGCTGTAGTTCCAGTGTTTGTCTGATTCGGTGGAGGGCGGAACAGGGTTACCCAGAATGCGGTTGATAGTTGGCGAATGGAGAAACTGACTGCCACTCAGATTTCCTGCGGTACTTGAACGGGTCATAGTGGAGAATAATCCCTTTCTCAACGATCTCTTGGGGAAAGTGGATCCAAACCTCCTGTTTGAACCCCAGCTCAGTTTGAAGCTCAGTTGATCCTTCCAGGGAGAGAAGGTCCAAGAATCCAGTTTGCAGGATGACTTCCTGCCGAGAGGCAAAGACAAAAAAAAAAAGTTAAACTCAGGTTGACAAAAACTCAGCTTGGCTAGAGTACCCAAAACTGGCAAACACTCTGGCGTCGAGGTAGTGGCAGTCAGCAGCGTAAGAACACTCCGTTAACGAGGAAACCATCAGCAGGTGTGTGAGGAGGCGGACCAGAACCAGGCGCCTCCTGGTGGATGAAGGGAGACAAACACAGAAAACACAAACACAAAGACAGGAGTCCTGACAACTAAGTGTTGTGTGACTTTGATCAAAACAAGAACTGATTCTAATAATATCAGTTTCAGCTGGGGAAAAAAAAAATAACTTACTTCACAGCCTACATAATTAGCTTATGATACCATTCCTAATTTAGTATCTGGATTACACTATTGCCTCTGCTCAAGTATTATTCAATGCTTTTATCCACAGTGTTCAGTGCTTTTTTTCAACGTGGAAAAAAGCTTTAACTGAAAGCTTACATTTAGTCTAGGTTGGTAGATTATGTCAACTTTAAACATCACATTACTATAAAGTTTTAAAACATGTAAAAATATATATATATATAAAATGACATTGTATGATAATTAATAACCCTTAAATTTAAGTTTATTATGTGAATTAGTCTAAAATTCAGTTTATGAATGAGTTATGAGTTAAATCAAACTTTAATCAAATTTGCATTTTCTGTTTAATGAGAACCTGCAAAATCTTAAATAAGAACTTAGATAAAATCTCTGTTGTTCTATTTGTTACTTACCTACTGGAAGCTCAGACGGTGGAGTTAACAGCTGAATCCTCTCTGAAACTCTTTTTTACATTTGAGTTTTAGGTTTGAGCCTTTAGTTAAAATCCAAACACATCAGACACAGCCAAAGGCGACATGTTCAGGTTTAAAGTAAGGGCCTATATTCCAATCATAGGGCCTCACAAACCCTGTTAACACACCCAGCAGACTCAGAATGTGCCTTGAGCCAAAAAGCTACTTTTACTTTGCCATAAATACCCAATAATATTGCAGAGTAAATCTTTCGGTTGCCCCTAAACAGACAGACGATAAAAGAGGTCAAAATGTGAGTTTTGCTTGTAAAAAAGAAGTCATTAATCAAATGTCTCAAAAAAGTAAAATCCACTCACCAACATGTTCATTTAAACTAGAACTCATAGGCCACCCCTAGCATTCATTCTCTATGCTATTCACTGACATTCCTATGCATGGATTGTGATTGCAATTTCTTATATTGAGCCGCTCTACTTTGTTTTAAACGTAAGTTATAACTGTTGTTCTAATGCAGGGCTTCCCAAACGTTTCTTGGTGAGACACACTTTGATTTAAAAGGAAAGTTCCTGCTCCGCCCCGATCTATTTTTTTTCTTCAGCTGAAAAAATAGATGTCATCTGCTGTAAACTCTAATGCAATAATTGTCATTTAAAATCACAAAACTAAAATTTTTAAGCATAATTATTTGAAGTTTAACTCTTATTTTACTTTATAACAGTATTCAAAATTGCCATCCCAAATCGTTTTAAATAACTTTCAAATGTTTATCCAAAAGAAAAAATGCTCAATAGTGGTTGTGAAGAGCCGAAGACGTGCCCCTCCAAAACAGCAAGGGCCCGCGGAGCAGCCGCCAGGAATAAGCCAGTACCCGCCCGGGCATCCACACCCAAACACCGAGCACCACCAGTGCACCGGCGAGCCCGGGCACCAGTCAGCGGAGGGAGAGCAGGACGGGGGGAATGATGGGCTCGGCAATTAGTAGAGACTTGAGATTTTCTTGGGAGAAGGGGGCAGTTCAGACCCCAACCTGACAGATGTTAAATTCTGTTTAAAGTAACACACTATAATTAAAAATGTCTCCGGACTGTTTCTGGTTGTTGATTTTTTTTATTCGGACCCCACTGGTTTTTAATTGGTTACCCCTTTCCTAGAGGGTCTGTGGAGCAGGGCCAGACAGCAGCCAGACAGAGAGGAGGTTTTCCTCATGAGTCAAGAGGGAAAAGTGATCATTCAGTCAGAAAAGTCATCTTGTGCTGAACTCTTGCCGTTGTTTCTGGATTTTATTATTGCAGATCGCTTCACAGCATCTATTTTCAGCCATTGAAGTGAAGTGTTTTATGTGTTTCCACATTTGTTAATGCAGTATGCAACTTTTGCATTTAATTAACAACATTGAGCCTCCTCTGTTACAAAGAGCAGCAGCCTCCACTGATCCATAACATTTTAAGTTCTTTCAGCCTGTCAAGAGAACAATTTGTGGGCAAGGTTATATGTCAAAGGTCAATATATATGTCCTAAAAGTTGTTGATATGAGTTGTGCAAAAATCTAATGAAAATTAAATCAGAAAAAGCAAACTTCAAATCAACTTCACAAGGTTTTAAGGGAGTTTGCAAGGATTGTTTTTGAATGATTTTAAAATATTACTGAAAACAATTTCAACACCTTTAACACCGGCGACCACAAAAAGTTATAAATATATACTAAATGTGAGCAGTAGAACTGAACAAAAAGTTGTTGCTGCTTTCATATTACTGCTAGCCTTGTTAGTAATATAAGGAGACAAATTGTGTTTTACAGGTGTTAGAGGAGTGTATTTTCATTTTGTTTGAATGTTTTTGTTGGTTTAAACTTGGCATCATGGTGACAGTGATTTACTCTCACTAATAAAAAGTAAAACAAAAGCAGACCTTGTGGCTACACTAAAAGGTAAAAAAAAAGAGAGAAGGAGCCATTACTTCATAATGTAAAGATGGAGAGATTCCCATGAAGGGATGCCTAATTCTCCCCCTGCATGCATTCGCCTAATTGATCACTATAAACAAGGAGTTCCCAAAGTAGAGGTTATGAGAAAGTTTTCACAATCAGTGTGGTGTAATCATTAATGGAATATCCTGAAATAAGGAGATGTAACATTTATTCAGTTATTCATCTTATACATTATTCAGACATTGAATATACAATAAAATCAAAACAACATATATATTTAATGTTTTTAAATTCAATATCAATGTGTTTTTTTGCACCACGTATTTTTTCTCCCACACTGTTTACATTTGACCAATGCTGCACTTTAAGACATGGAAAATTTTGTTTTCTATACACTGTGTATACAAAATGACGATAAAAGTTGTCTAAGTCTAGGTCTAAAAATGCGCAAATAATTAGATGTCCTATTGAATAATAATAATCATATTTAAATTGATTAAATGAATAACTAAATATAAAAAACATAATTGCTTTACTCGTCTTTGGTGAGCATGTACTTTGCCGGAATGATTACAGATTCTTTTTTTTGGGGGGGGGGTTTCTCAAGCTAAAATGTCAGGGAACCCCTCTGTAAATTCATGTAAGGTGTGTGTGCAACACTGCCTGCACCTCAGAGACAAGATGCACTGAAAAAAAAAAATCAACAATGACTTAACCTACAATTTATATTATCAGTTGTGCTCAAGTCTAGTCCTCAAGAGCGACTATCCTGCAACTTTTTGATGCACCCCATTTTTAACACAGCTGAATCAAATGAATGGCTCGTTGCCATTCCTCTGCTATGCTAAATGAGGGGATTGAGCCTTTCGATTCAGGTGTGTTAGATAAGAGATGCATCTAAAAGTTATAGGATGGTAGCTTTTCAGGACTGGAATTGAGTACCCCTGATCTAAATTAACATTTTGCATGTAAATATTTTAATTGGCCCAAAGAGAAAATGTTACGTTCCTGTCAGACTAACAGTGGTGTCAAAAGTACACACATTTGTTACTTAAGTAGAATTATAGATACTGCAGTTTAGTATCAACTTGAACTCTTTACTCAAGTAAAAATGAAAAATTAATGCGCTCAAAAAACTACTGAAAGTATAACGTATAAAGTAACCTTAAAAAAAACTTTAAAAAAACCAGCCAAATGCCACTATATGAATTGAAAGCTCAATTTTTCGACTATTTTGGAAAAATCTTTGAGTTAGGGCCAAGAATGATGGAGGTCTTGTTGGTCTCTGTCTCCATCTCCCGATACGCTCTCGCCTGTGTCCGACCTTTCAGACATTTCGACATCTCTTTCTGAATCCTACATTGTAGCATGGCATAGACAATTCACATTTGCAGTTTGAAGAACACCTGTTTGCTTCTGATTATTTCCATGTTCCGTGTTTGCATTATATAACTCATCAATGATCTGCATTGGATGGCGCACATGACGTGGAGTAAATATTTATAAAATGTAAAGGAATGTAAGGAATAGAAAACAATAGCTTAAATATCGGTAAGCAGAGACAGCAATTGCTTTAGGGCTCGCGACCTCTTAGGGGCCCCATCAGTGACACCTGGTATCCCCCTACGCAATTTTAGACTAGGACTTCTCTGCAAATGTAATGGTGCGAAAAATTCCTCTTTAACCCAACTGATACTGAAGAGACTGACCTCACCGGATTGTATTTATATCGCAACACATGCCAGATTTCATCATGATGGTGAGCCGTTTAAACACGACACCAATAGCAAAGCAGACAGTGGTACTTTGAATTACTATGTTAATAACTGTGTATAGTTCATTAGACAGTTGGTAAAAAAAAACACACTCATATAATATGTTTCAAACCGCAATAAAGATCTTAAAAGAACAATGTATTTGAGTATTTTATTTTTTACACTATGACTTGGAATTATGGGTAATCCAGAGCGTAGATTAAAATCCGAACCATTGCGTACAATGTGTGAGCGACGATGGATACCACAAAGAGGTACTTAAGTGAATTCCAGAAAAGAAAAAAGAAAGAAGAGCTGCTGAAAGAACGGAAAAAAACTTCTCAAAATAAACACGTTCTTTCAAAGAACCGAAGAGGGAGATAAGCATCTCCCTGAAATTAGTTTTTGGAACTTGGGACATCTGTAACATGTGGTGGTGCGCTGTCATCAATGGTTCCATTCAAGGTACCCATTCACTATTTTTCCATGTGTGATCATAAACTACTGAGAATTGCATAATTATATCCTCTTGGCCGATTTATGGAACTGTCTCCAAATCCTGAACCTTTATCACGTGTTGTACATCATATGGGGCCCACCCAGATAATGTTGCTTACAGGCCTATTGTTGTGTCGTTACGCCATTGATAGAAAGTACAGATAATTGTGTGAAAATGTAAAGAGTAGAAGTCAGAAGTAGGAGGAAAAATAAGTAATGGAGTAAAGTATAGATACCTAAAAAGTGTACTTAAGTGCAGACACCTCTGCAGACTAATGATCTATCTGTATCAGTTTATCTTCTTTACTAAAGCCAGTTATTGAATGAAGGAACGCAATGTTTTAGTTGTTTCAGGGTTGAATGACAATGAATGGATTAATGGGTGAGTGAGATGTTTGATCAGTTTAGAAAAAATAAACATTTTGTATAAATAAAAACCCACACATTTGTAATCTAAGTGGGAAATGAACGCAGAAAACGGACCTGATCTGTTCTCCTGTACTTTGGGAACCTGATGGTGCGATAACAGAATGATAGAAGTTCTTTGTTTAGTGCGTTTCCTCTCTGTGCCGCATTTTTCAAATGTCTTTTTGATAGTTTTAGACCTTGATCAGACTGTGGCTGGCTCAGAGCCTGGCCCTTCCCTCTTCGGGCATGTCCCCGCCCCCCTACCCCTCCATTCCCTGCAGCTCCTCTCCTGCAACACGATTTGAAGGCGAAAGAGGAGAGGAGAGTAGAGGGGAGGGAGGCAGAGCCAAGAGAGAAACAAAAAACGTGACTAGGCACCCAAAGCCTCCTGTTATGCAACAACTGACCTACTAACATACATTAGAGACTCGGCAGCGAAAAGAAAGAGAGCGAAAGGAGGAAATAAAGAGAGGAAAATAAAAAGAGGGAGGGGAGGAAGGAATCGGAGCGATCATGACGGGAGGAGCGCACCAAAACAAGCCACTGTGGTTCCACATCCACCGCCGCAAACAGCGGAGAGAGCTGAAGGCTTGGAAAGCGTGAGGCAATTTTAAAGAGAGCGCTGGAGACCGATGGAGAGAAGCGGACTGCTGGACAACACAGCTGTGTGCGCCCCTTTTTGGATTCTCTGATTTTTATTTTTACGCATGTTCAAGGTAAGGCATGGCTGGACGTGTGAAGCTTCTCTGTCCTGTGTGCTGGATTCCTCTCCGCTCTCCTTTACCTCCAGGGTTGAGGGTTTGTTTTGGTGCCACCTGGGCGCGTCTGACTCCAATGTCAAGGCGAGGCTGCCTCCAGCTCCTCAGCAGGGCTGCATGGGAGGGCAACAGAGGAGGTGTTGATGCCTGGGGGTCATGGGGGCCAAGGTGGGGGGGCCACTGGGGGGCTTAGATACATTTTTGTTAAGTTGGAGCATATCTTTTTCCTTCCTTTCTCATATGGTCACCCTAAACCCTGTCTGCTAGAACAAATATTCCTCAAATCATATCATTACTTTTATTAATTTTTTTTTTTTTTTGCAGTTTTGTGCTCCAACTTTAAAAATAAAAAAGATTGAAAACTTAAAAAAACATTTGAAGCATTTCTAAAATAATAAAAAAAAATGTTAATTCGACTTAAGCATAAAACACTCTTTATATCTCTTTAAGATATACATTTTATTAATTATACATAATATCTTAATGTGTTACATTTCCAAATTTTGTCTAAAATACTGTTATTAATTCAACATTAACCAGCTTATTATATTATAATTCCCAATTACCAAACTTCACAGTAAATAAAACAGGAAAAAAATTCAAATTGATAACATTAATTATCTCTTATTTCTTTTTTAAATTGTAGTATTTCTGTAAATCCTCGCCCCAGCAGGTTAGTTATGATCTTAACTTATTTTTACAGCAACTGTTGTGTTTCTATGGGCATCACTAAATGTCAGCTCAACCAGCAGCTGCTGTTTTGGTTGGATTGTTAAAAAGAAAGTTGTTCCTCATTTGTAACGAATCTAAAATGACTTTAATCTACATCTCCCACGAACTTGTTTTTACAGTGTGTATAACTTCTCCTGGCTTTGCTGTTTAAGCAGCTATTCCTGTTCTGTTATGAATCATTTATTGGGCACATAAATAGAAACCTTCCTTCCACAGAGGCTCGTACTGCATGTCCACCAGCTTTGTTTTAGGTTAGTAGGCTAGCTCATGTGAACAAGCAGGGAGGAGGGAGGGGAGAAAAATCCCTTACAGAGGACACACTTCTCCCCGTCACGTGGAGCAGCTCTTTGTAAAGGTTACAGCAGTTCTCTGCGTTTAAACCCTTCAGCCCCCTGGCGGCGCGAGCGCGCGGGGTAATCTTGGAACATTTGAACGCACCTGGAGCTTGGATGCGTCTTTTCCTGTTTTTTGTTTTTTTTATTATTTGATTTATAACTTCCAAGCAGAGTCATGGAAGCCACGCGGATGAAGAAGGGTGAGGTCACGCGTGTTTTTTTTCTTCTTTTTTTAAACATCTGGATAATGTAGGGTCAGGAGAGGTGTGGGTCGCTCTATCTCTTCTTCTTTAAAGGTGTTCTGTTGGATGTTTGTTTTTTTGAGGAGCTGGATGCATTTCACGGCACAGTTGGAATCGCCTCGCATGACTGAGGATCCGATTAAATATGCATGGGCACGATTTGTCAGACAGAGCAACAAAGGAGGCGTGCGGGGTGACATATTGTTCACAAGGTGTTGCTGGCTGTGCCATGTTTATTTATGCTTTTATTTTGGCGGATCTAAACACCCCTGAAGTTGCGCCCTAAGCAACAGCTTTAAATGCTTCCAGGCTGTTGCGTCACGTCTCACCTGCACTAAGGATATTTTATAGGGATAATAGTTGGCAAACAAACCTCGGATCTTCAATTCCTGCATGAGCTTTATGAAGCTCTTGTATCACGGCGCACGTGCGGAGAGTTAGTGGTAACAGATTTAATGCAGCTTTTCAGGAACTCCATGGGTCAAACCAAGTTCAGATAAATATAAAATAGTTCATTATAGAATGTTGGATTTCAGATAAAGGATTGCTGGGTTTTTTTTTTAAGTAACATTTAGGATTTATCCAAAGCTCCATGTCTTTTACGCGCTGCGGGGTTTCCACCTCTGTGCGCCACGCTGAAAAAGGTAGAGGGGTTGCATAATAAATGAATGAAATAATGTAAATGGATTAGAGAATAGAGCAGATTATGCAATCTACGGAAACCCATAGTCTGCGGCTATATGCTGCTGCCCTGGTCGCTGCCAATTGGTCGGCGCGCATATTGGGTCTCTGTGCCAACTATAAATGTAGGTCACATCAGTCCCGTGGGAGGGGAGGGAGGGGGGGGCTGCCGCTACAGCATCTGACTGGAAAGGCAAAATCAGAACCCGAGCAAAATAAATCCCAGCCATAACAAAGAAACGGGGCAGTCATGCAGAAGCAGGAAAGTGGAGCAGCAACTGAACAAATAAAATTCATTTCTAGGTGTAGCCCAATCCTGCATTTTTTAAATAACAAAGTAGGAAAGAAAAACTCCAGGGAGAGATGCAGATGAACATTGCCTGAAAATCACAACAAAAACAATCTATTTAAAGGGATAACTCAGAAAGTTTAAATGGGTTTCTATTAAAATCTTACCTACAGTACATACCTCTTTTGACATCATAATGTAACCCTTTATAGGGCAAGTTACCATTTTTGATCACTTGCATACCCTTTATAAATGGAGGTCTAGAAGCACAACATCTATATCCAGCCATTCAGCAAAGACCCTGCTACATGGCTGTACATCTTATTTTGGCATTTGACCAATTAGATGAGCCCTTGAATGATATATTACCTACTGTAAAAGTTAAAAAGTCAAGAAAAAAAGGTAAATAGCTAATTGAAAAGTTGAAAAATAAAGTTAAAAAGTTAATAACCTTAGTTAACAATTATATTTGGGTTTATAAACTAAAAAATGTAAGTGCCTTTAACAGCATTAATGCCTCTAAGGTTATGTTTTACCAAAAAACATTCACTCTCTGAATGTTTTTCATGAATTTCTTATAGAAGCACTTCTGTTATTTTTCTTAATATATTCGGGCAAGTTGGCGTTTGTTCTTATTACATTGACATTCATTTTTACCATCAAAATATCCATATTTTTTGAATGTTACAAATGTAATAAGGTCTTGTCCTAGATTCCAATAACACTATTTTGATGTTGATTTTCAAAGTATTTTACTGAGTGCCCTATAAAGGATAAAAAAACCCCAGATTAGATTATATTGTATGATGAAGATAACAGTTAATCTGCAGGAAAAGATTTCCACTGTTGTAAACAACTTTTGTCCAAAACAATAAGTTCAGATCAGTTTACGTTATTGTTAGATAAGGAAACTTTAAACATTGTCCTATTTGTGTGGGGCAGTTCTGATAATTTATTCAATAAAGGTAGGAGCCAGGATTCTACCTATTGATCCACCATTTTTTGTAAACATTAGAGCCACGATACTGAAAAGTTTGCTGGTTTAAATCCAAATTCTCTCTTAATAGACATAAAGACAACTGGTTGCCGTCTGTCTAATCTTGAAATTATAAAAAGGAAAACTGAAAAGACCTCAGGGTTATGTGGTTAAACTGGAGGTTAAAGGTCAACCTAGGATGACCTAACTTAGCCTGATTTTCTTTTATGTCTTTATGGTTTAGATTTTATGGGAAATATTACGCCACGTTGTGGCTAAAACAACCCAGCAAGGACTCATTGGTCATAAATAGCCCTTGGTGGACATCCGGTACTGACTTGGTGGGTCACTTTAATTGGAAATACCTCAGAGTTGTGTTTCACACAGGAAGATCATTAATGGCACACAGCCTCCGGTTTCAGCTTCTTATCTAAATAGACACTGGCTTCTCTGGAAGTAAAAAAACAAAATGCAAAAGGAAATGGAGATGGTTATAAGGCTCATTAAGTAACATTTTCATTAAACACTATGAAATATTTTGATTGAAGTTGTTGACAGCCGCTTTGATCTCAGCGCCTCGTGTAGTAGCCATTTACTTCAGCCTCAGGCACCAACTCATCTCGATTTATACCAAATAAAGACATCTAAGGAGTTGTCTTTTGCATTGAAAATTAAAAATGATAGATTAAAGCTTTAAGGTGG